GGTCTAGGCCCGAAACGTCAGCCTCTCTGCTCCTATGATGCTGCTTGGCCTGCTGTGTTCATCCAGCCCTGCACCTTGTTGTCTCGGATTCTCCAGCATCTGCAGTTCCTACTATCTCTGATTCTATGAGGTCCACCTGGCTGACCTTGTTACCTCACGACAGTGAGTTAACTCACTGCTGGAAGACCTACTAGCAGATTGAACTGATGTGTGACATGGGCCTTGGAGGATAAAAGATAGCTACTGAGAGATAAGCAGTAAGCTTTACATAAGACTTATCACAGGCACATGAACGTAGCATCATTAAAAGGCACATGGACTTAGCTTTCAGTTTGCATTCTGATAGAAATTCCTAATATTCCTTCCTGAAATATTGCTGCTTATGGGAGAGTCTTTTACTAAAACCTTGGTGATATGTCCAATGTTGGTCAACTCATTCCTAATATACAAGCAATAACTACATGTAACTAAATTATTTTAGCAAGCTGCAGATTCGATAGTGAATAACTTTGGGTGACTAATAGATTGATGTAAAATCTTGAGGTCTACAAATGAAGGAATACAGCTACTTCAGGGCAGGTTTTCAATAAAATACTTTTAAGGATCAAATTAAGACATTATAGTAAATCTGTAACTTACCTTTTCTCTTTTACTTCCTAAGAATGCAATGGTTCTATATGAATCTGTGATCTCTAAAGTCAAAGTGATAAACCATCTACATTTCAATGACCAAAGTAGCCATGGTCTTATCAAACACAGGGCTGCTCTCTCATTAGAGAGAGACAACCAGTGCTGGTTTAAGCTGGAGGTCAGCATGCCTCAAGTGTGGGATGAGGTTGAGAAGGAGAGTCCTGCATGATAATCTCATCTGTTACAGGAATCGAACCTACACTCTCAGTGTCACTCTGCATTAACAATCCAGCCATCCTGCCAACTGAGCTGACCAGGCCCCATTTCAATAAGTGCACAGTGTTTAAATATGTGTTTTGTTCCCACAAAGCAAACAGTACAAAGGAAGCATTTGTGCTAGAAAATTGAAATGCTACACCTAAAGGAAGCAGGAATTGGTTAAAGTAAGTTGGCAGGTTTTGGTATTGAACTTGTTAACATAAACAGGCTGATTACCTTGATATTACTCATTCCTGGCCTGTGTCACAACATATTCTCCTCAGCACATTTGGAAACTGATATAAACAGTGCCACCACCTGCCCTAAAACCAGTACATCCTGTGTTTGAAGTCTGTCATTGCTACTGAACACAGCTGAGCAACAGTATCATTCATCCAAGTGTTTAATTTTGGAATTCGAGATCGTCAGGAGAAACCAGGTGTGCAAGATCATGCATCTGTGAGTCATGGTTGCTCTGTGCATGGTTGCAATTGTTTGGCCATTTAAAGCATCTTTTCCTGTTCCCCATCTTCTAGCCTGAGGTTCCTTCACATTGGCACCATATTCAAAGCTGATGGTAGCCCTCAGAAATTTGCTTCAGTCAATCCATGGGGCCACTCACTGGAGAACAAGTGGTGGAGCAGAGAGGCTGACTCTTCTTGCAGTAAGCTGTCAATTGCAAAATGCCAGTCAGCTTAACTGGGGACATTTTAAGGCATGCCTTTCCCTCCATTCTGGGCATGTTAGGATGGAGTGGCCATATACTCTCAGTAATAAATAAATTCAACATCCCTGCTCTTCTCTTACCCAATATGTCACAATACTGTTTGAGTGAATTTAGACTTTTAGACTGTAAGGGTTTAAATTGTAAAAGGTTGATTTCCAAGTATTGAACTATGTATTAAATAAACATCCTGCATCTTAGAATTTAGAGTCAGAAAGAATCTGAAAGCAACCTTGTACAAATAGAAGGCAATGTTAACAAAAGAGAAGCCTTAAGCAAGGACAGAAATACCAAACACTGATAAGAAATGGGAAAGAACGAACATTTCGGGTAAAATTAATTGTTCCCTGACTGGTTGAAGGAGATGTTTACAGTATCCCTGTCATTGAACGAATGTTTTTTTTCCACATTTGTATGATGTAAGATTGGAACTTGGATAATTAATGGGACCAAAAATGGTATAAAGATAGACAAAACTTTCTCTCCAGCATCACTTGAATAAAATGATTGCAAACCTATACTCAGTCTCCAGTCGTTGATTATCAGAATTGACCACGACAACATTATAATTGCCTGCTGCTTCCTGGTGGTCTTTCTGGAGGGTCAAGCAATGTTAGGAGAATGGATTACCTGTGATGTGATATAAATATTACTCATAAAATGAGAAGAGATGGAAGTATACTCTGTTTCCAACATTGTCACAGCAAGGGCAGCAGAAAGAAAATGAATATTTATGGAGGCAATAAACTCAGAAGAAAGGCAAAATAAAAACAAGGCACGACCAAAGTAGTGGCTAGGAGCTGTGCGAAATTCTTTAATTTCATGGATTAGAGTTATGCAAGGAAGGAGTGGAGCTGGAAGCACACATGACAAATAAAAACCTATTGGCTTTTCATCACCTCTGTGTTGGGCAGCAGATTGAAGGGAAACAAATAAAAACACAGGGTCAAGGAAAGAAAACGTGAGTTGAATGTTCTTTTTGAAATGGTGGTTTCAGCGAAATAAAAACTCGGAACAAATTTGAATACAAAAAGCTAAAGAGGAAAAATTACGCAAGAATAACTAAATTTTGGTGTTTATCAGAGGTTCTTGAGTGATTCAATTTGTTTGCACAAGAGCCGCCCTGATTTAATTGATTTCCATAAAAACAATTAATTCTTCTTGCGCCCGGTAAATTCAGTCAGTGTTGTCCTCTCAAAAACAATGTTGTTTGTTGGTCTCACAGGAAGAAATACACCGCTGTCCTTTCTGATCAAGCACCAGCTTTGAAAAGAAAACTATACTGTTTCAAAGTATATCCAATTAACAGTAGGAAAACAGATACCACAAGTACATTGGTGTCCAGGAAAATCCGAGCGCTGCACGCAAGTACATCAAACAGATAGGTCTTCATAACAGACCTTTGCTTTAAGGAACATCACTGCTAATTAAGTCTCATAATGAATTCTATCTGATCTCCATGAAACTGACACAGATCATTCTAACTACAAAATCTCAAGTCTGACTTCCTTCACCTTGATTATCATCAAAGTACACAGATGTAAAAGGAAAGTGCACCTTATGGATGATGCATAACATAAGACAAATTCATTATTTAAAAAAGCCTGATAATACCAGTTAATGTTGGCAACATATATATTTTATTTGTCAGTATAGTTTCCTTAACTCTTTAAATTAAATATTTCTGCATTTTTCAAAAGGAACATTTTAAACATCAAAGCTTTTACGAAACATAGAAAAATTCTTAGCACTCGCTGCAAGACAAACACTTTTAATCAGGCTGGAAAGGAGAAGCATTGTGTATATTTCAGACTAATACAAATCCAAAGGTTGCTTTATACCATCAGTATGGATTAAAAAATCAGACTGTACTTCACAGAGATAAAAACACTTAACAACTTTGGAAATAAAGCTCATATTTCCCAATGTTACTTGGATATCGAGCATAAAAGACAAAACTCTACAAAGTTCTCCTCACCCATCCTTTTGTTTTAATCCTTCGTAAGTTCCAACATATTTATGCCACTCCAGCCATTCTGACTTAAAGACCTTCATGGACACCAGTTTTATTTTGCCAAGCTCTGTCCCACTCTTACTGACTTCATCGTCTTCATTTTCATACCTCACTGTCACTTCCCTTTGTTGGTGCCTTTTATCACTGGGGTGTTGGGGCAGAAGGGAAATGAATAGATATCTCAAGTGCCCTGACAACTAGCTCCATACTGTTGTATTTTTGGCCTCTGCATTCTTTCAGGGAAGCCAGTCAATTCCTGTTTATTACTCAAGCCAGCCTTGAGGGTGAAATCTCCCAGTTACATGTTGATGCACAATACAAACTGAACATCTGTTTGACTTACATATCAAACCCAAACATTTCCTGTTAATTTTACCCCTTGTCTTGAAATGGCACCTCAAATTAGTGTATGGCTTGTGCATTTGAACAATGTATGAACATAAGCACTGAGTATTCATATGCTACCTTCATTTAATAGTCACAGAAGTACACTTATCATCAATAGATGTGATGTGATAATCACCATTTCCTTGCTGTAAATGATCTTTCTGTTACAGCCATTTTAAAACAGACTTGGAAACTGAGATTAAATAGTCCCAGGTCTCTAAACGATAATTTGGATCAGAGCAAAATGATTTCCTTTATCTGTTTTAGTATTCTACCCAACCGCTCTCCTTTTTTTGTATTTTATGACATCCCAGATTTTTGGATATTTCCTCTTCCACTCGTTCTGAAGAAAGACAGATTGTGTCAGAATGAACATTCTATGACTGCAAACTTGATCTTTGAATGCCTAACTCTGAGTTTATAAATGACTAAATATTCCACACTCATTCCCTTACTCTGAAGACCTATGTTTGATATCATCCACCTTCTGGTTTCCTTGAATTCTCTTTATACCGGTTGGTATGCTGAACTCTGGCGTTTGACTCTAGCTTTCTCAACACCATGAAAACCATGAAAAACAGCTCTGAAGATTAGGTAATTTTAATAGGACTGTTCTCAGTAGACTGTGACTGTAGAGTTCCTTTATGGCAACAGTTTATTCTGGTGGCTAGGAGAAAGGGGAAGTAAGCGTTCAAATCCCAATGGTAACATCTCAAAGACTTCACTTAGCAAGCTAAAATCCTGAGGAATGCTCTCCTGAACTCAGTGTTGAAGGTGGTGTATATGATGGGATTTACTGCGCTGTTGACATATCCAAGCCAGGTAGTAGCACTGTAAAGTTCTGTTGACACATGGCATTGCTTACAGTGGATCTTCAATATGTGTGTGATAAAAAATGGCAGCCAGCATACCAGGAATATACCTGTGAGACGGAAAGAGAACATAGTAATATAACAATTGCCCTACCAAATCTTTCTTAGAAATCATCCTCAATTCAACTTGTCCAGATACGCAACAAAAACATACAAAATATAGGAAATAGGAGCAGGAGTAGACCATTCAGCCAATCGAACCTGCTCTGTTATTCAGTATGATCATGGCTGATCATCTAACTTAGACCCCTGTTTCTGTCTTCTTCCTGTACCCTTTGCTCCCTTTAGCCATACGAACTAGATCCAACTCCTTCTTGAAGACACTCAATGTTTTGGCCTCAATCACCTTCTCTGACAGAGAATTCCACAGGCTCACCCCTCTCATTTCTCCCCATCTCAGTCCTAATTGGCCTTTCCTTCTGTTCCTTATACTGTGAACCCTGTGGTCATTGAAAACATCCTTCCTGCATTTATTCTGTTTAGTTCTGTTAGCATTTATAGGTTTCTATAAGATCATCTCTCATTCTTCGAAATTCAAGAGAATATAGTGCTAACTGATCCAATCTCTTTTAATACATCAGTCCTGCCATCGTAGAATCAATCTGGCACAAAACTCCCTTACTTCACCTGGACACTACTCCCAACTATACTCCTGGTCAGTCATTAACATCAAAAATGTATGATGCATTCCACGTCATATTGTAAAGAACACCCCAACCCCACGCACAAGTTAATGTGTTCAGCTGTCAACCTGAAACATATCTATTAATTTTTAGGTGCTGCTCTTAGCCAATTTTTTTGGGCTGTCTGAGTAGGATTGGTACTGAGGCAATCTGGAGCACCAGTTATGATATCTGTCATGTGAGTAGCTGTGTTCTAACTCTCAGATGGGTAAGCTGCTCTTATCTTGCAGCAGGAGGCCTGATCCTTACGAAAGAACAGGCCAGTGAGTTGTGCCTGAACATGCTTTCGCAGCCCACAGCTGGTTGCATTGTATTATATTGTGGTAGCTGCAGGATTATAAATAAGTACTTTCACTGCATTGAAAATGCATTTACTCTCAGGTTTCTCTGTGTGAAGTTACTATATACACGCTGCACAAAGCCACCACTTTTACCAATCTATGATTGTTTGGAATTTCACAGTTGTAATCTTTTTTGAAAAAGGATTACCACTACAATAGTGAGCCAAGCTTTCCATGTACTGGTGGAAAAACAGTTAGAATACTCATCCAGGTTGACACAATGTTGCAGAACAAGTCTGGGGAAATCACACTTGGAACTGCGTGCTACTCTGAACAGATTGCATTTTCATTGCTGTGTTTAGTTCTGGTCACCCAGACCCAAAAACTACATTTTTCGAGTCAGTTCAGACAATCACACAAGGCTGATTCTTAGTTGAGTTATGAGGAGGAAGTGAACACTGGTCTTTGCAGTGTTGAAACACAATAACTGTGACCATAGAGAGTTATAGGTAAATAAATTAATAGTCGAAAAGCATAACTTTAGCTGATTGTTTAGCATTACAAAATGCAAACATTGCCAAAACGTGGTAAGAAGTTGAAGCTTTTCACCATGCATTAATCAGAACTAGGAAACAGGAAACAGAATCAAACGCAGACACACCATTTTATACAGCAAGAGAACAGGGTGCTGATTGGTTGGGCCATCATTGGCATGGAGATGCAGCAAGGTCAGTTAACTGTCAATCTTAATTCTTAGACCAGGAAGGTAGCTTCTGATTGGTTGAGATGTTGCCATGGGGATGTAGCAGCAACTAGCTATCTCTGTGACTCCATGTTTTGAAATAGGTGCAATGACATCACAAATTTTGTTTGCCTATATAAAACGGAGTCCTATGTATACATATCATGTAGCACATGTAAATGCATCACACTGCACACCTGACTGATGATCTTGAATTGCTGTCCAGTGTAACAATTAGCACAGGCCAATATACATTTAAGTAAACCTGACAAAGGGACTGCAGAAGTCATCCTTAACAAATGTGATTACGTAAACAAAATGCACACCATGCTCCATGAAGTTCCAAAGTTATAGCTACAGGACCTGCCACTACACAAAACCAAACAGCCACACTCAAGGGCCAGATGGACTTGTGCAACGATGGTAAGCTGCCTGCTGATGTATATGATAGGATTCATCCTTATGACTCATGACCTCCACAACATACGGGCTACACAAAATACACAAAAGTGATGTCTCTATATGCTCTAATCTATCTATGACAGGCTCTGCACAACATGAATTAGTCAAATGATTGTGTGAGCTGGTGCAAATAGTTCTATATGTGGTTTCCACATCCACTCTGAAGGATACCTTACGTTCACTAAGATCATGTAGGACCCACACTTTGAGAGCAATAGCATGCCCATGTGCTCTTTCGATATTGCTGGTGATTATACCACTCAAAGAAACCATTGTCATTTGCATTATGTCACTATATCATGGAAATCTGGATGTGTTACCTTTGTCTGAAACTATGTTCAACGAACTTGTGAAATTTGCAAATTGTGCAGTAGAATTCAGTTTCAATAGCACCATGTATGCCCAAATAGTCACATTACCATGCCATGAAAAACTTCAACATTGTGTCTATTTTTGCCATTACCTTAGAGTAAAATTAATAAATAGAAGTGCTTTTGATTAATAGCCAGAAGTTTTTCCACACAAAGGTAATTCATTTTATTATGCTCCAATAACCATTTGATTCTGTATGGTATGCACAATTTATTTATAAATCTCACAGAACATTCCCATTAAATATTAACAAAAGCATTACAAGAGAAATCCAACTGATACAACGTGCTTCCTCTAATCTTTGAGCCTATCTGGCGTTCAGTTAATACCTCAGTCCAACTCAGATTGAAATAGAACTGCATTTAGACTTCTCGGATATGGAATGGACTTTTGCATTGAACAGTGCACTAAACACAATGAAATTAATTAAGAAAACAACTCTACAATGGGGAATTGTTAGGTTGTTCTGGAAGAACTAGCTAACATGGCCATAATAACCATTCTAATCTTTTCTATTCTTTAGAAGGACTTCTAGCTAGCTACTTTTTGTGTGAAGGCAATTGCATAAATAATTCTGAGCTTCACCATTCTAATGTATTCAAAAGTTTCAAAAATTACAAATAACTTTCTCTTAGCGTTGTTCGTGAAGGAATTTTAAAAAGGGATAATTAAGTGCGAACAAATAAATATATATGTCTATGTCTCTAGAGCTGCATTATTCACAGCACTAAGTCTTTGACATTCTTTATTATACACTTATAAATCTGTCATGGACCCCTATGCCATTTAGGTATCAAACTCAGAACCAGAATTTCCAAACTAAATAATCTTACTGAATTAAGGGTAGATAATTGAACTATACACAACATAAGTAGAAATGCTATTATCAATGTGAGGTGGTCTCTCATCTCACATTTTGATGCATGCAGCAGTGAGTTCACCAGCCCAACTTCTAAGAACGTTAAACTAAACAAAACACAAAGAACTGCGGATGCTGGAAATCAGAAATAAAAACAGAAACTGCTGGAAAAACTCAGTAGGTCTGGCAGGAACTGTGGAGAGAAAGCAGCATTAACATTTCTGGCCTGGTGACCGTTCTTCAGTTCTGAACTTTTCCTCCCATTTAGAGTGCTGGCCAGGAGGTTAATTGTAATTCTTCAGGCCTGAATGATAATTGTAGAAAGTTGGCTAGCCTATGTCGGAAAGGAGAGTAAATCAGAGTGTTGGTTTCAGAACTGGAATATAGAATCCTGAAGCATTGGTCCTTTCAAAGATCCTTTAGACTGTTAGGTCTTCATATATTAAAGATATATTTAACTTTCTAAGATGGGAACCAAATTACTTGATACTTACCAAGAACAATGACCAACATCCGAGTTGCTTTCCTTTCTCTCATTTGCAGGTTCCTGCGTTTTAATACAGGTCTCAGTGAAGTTGTAGTTTTGCCACTGGACAGCTTTTTCACTTCAGAAGCATGTTTTATTGTACACATGCTCTTTCTTTCTGATTCCTCAATCCCATTGTCTGTTTTTGCAAATGTTGCATGGCTCATGCTGCAATAATTTGCTACTTCAACTGGTGCCAGCAGTTTGTTATTTGAAGAAAGTCCCCTTTGCTTGTTAAATCTCAAACAAGCGAATGCATGTAAACTTCTGGGAAAATTTTCTATCCTTTCCTGGTGATAAGAAAGTGTAATTAAGTTAAAAAAACTTAGCCAGCCACAATAATTCAATAGTTGTCAACAAACAGCAAAATAAATGCTGTTGCTGGAAACGGAAACAAACAGACTAAATACTGCAAAACAAAACCTGCACTTAAGGCAGAATCTATCGAAAGAAAATATCAGTTAAGGTTTCAGGTGACAGAAAAGACTTGTAATTATATACCACCTTTCATGACATCAGGTAATATTAAAGTGCTTTGTAGCCAAATAATGACATTTTAAATGTATTGAGTGTTGTGATGCAGAAATACGCAGCCAATTTGTGCACTGTTAGCTCCTATATTCAGTGATGTGCTAATGACCAGATAATCTGCTTTAGTGATACTAGTTGATTGATAAATATTGGCCAGGACACCAAGGGCACTACCTGCTTCATCAAAATAATGTCATAGGATTGTTCACATTGATTTGAGAGGGTAGATGTGTTATTATTTCAGGTGAGGCAGCTTCTTCAATATATTGCACCAACAAAGTTCACTTGTCTGATCTCTCCATGTATGTTCCCTAACCTACTGCGTGCTTCTCTTTGAGACAACAAGAACTGCAGATGCTGGAGTCAGACACAACACACTGTGGAGCTGGAGGAACACTGCAGGCCAGGCAGCTTCAGAGGAGCAGGAAAGTTGACGTTTTGCATCGGGACCTTCTGAAGAAGAGTCCCAACCCAAAACAGCAACTTTCCTGCTCCTCTGATGCTGCCTGGCCTGCTGAGTGCTTCTCTTTTCTGTTTTCTGCTTCACTGTAGCTTCAGTCGCTTTATTCAGTTCTCATTCCCATTGATATATGTGATCTCAGTACAAATGCAACAGCATCCCCGGCTTGATAACACTTCCTCTCTGAATATTGTGGAGTAAAAATAAAAGTACCACACTGTGCTTAAAGGTAGGTGGTATTGACACATTGCTGGGTCTTCAGGAAGAAACCTGTTCAAGAATGAATCTCACGATCTAAAAGCTAAGGGAAGTAGTAAGTTTGTCAAATTAAACACAATGACATTATTGTTCCCAATGGTGATTTTGTACCCTTCTCTGTGCTTATGCCCTGCAACATTTCCAGCATTAATGAGGTGTCAAGTCCCCTCTGAGAATTTGGCCAACATAGTATTTTGTAACTTTGGATTTGGTACAAAGAAAAGGGTCACTGTGTGAAATTAGTAATTCAGAACTTGCATTAGAAGGGTGTGTACAACATTTCATAGCCTTTACAGAACAACTCACATCTTTAGTTCTTGGTTTTTAAATGAACTTTACTAACTCCTGACTGACAATGCTCCACATATTTTGGATTAACCATTAACATGGAGCTAAGGTCATGGGAGGCAATTTCCTGAGGAGTTAGAGTTAATAGAATGTCTTATAAAGGCTTCTAACAGCCTTGAATTCTGTAAGTTTGAATCTTTGTCTAACCTTATTCGTGGGTTGGTCATTAAAGTTCACTGAAAATCCACGTAGATTATAGTCCTCCTGGTCAACTCAGTTGTCCTTTGTACATTTGTCAGGTACACTTTGTTGCCAGCAAATTTATACCAATTGTCTCCTTCTGTTCCTGCCTGTGTTTCTCCCTAATATTCTCTCTTAATTGTTCTGTCAATTTGACAGTGGCATTGTTTTGAATTCATATTTTTCTACCCTGAGCTTACAATTGACTATTATGTTATTATATAATTTGCCTGTCTCTCTACTATCGTGTTTACTTAACTCAGTCAGTAGCACTCTTATCACTGAGGTAAATGAGCTTTATGAGTTTAAATCCTACTTTAGGAGGCAAGTACAGAACAGGGGTCATATCTCAATGCAGCATATTGCATTACTGCATTGTTGGAGGCAAGCATCCTCAAATTAAATTTTAAACAAAAGACCCAATCACACCTCCTAATACAGCAGGTGGATATTATAATCCCATGAAACTGGTCAAAGAGGGTCTGGAGTTCTCCTGGTATCTGAGCTAAACATTTCTCCTTTAGCCTAACCCAAAAACTGATTTACTGGTCATCACTGTTCGAGGTGAATTGCAAATGACGCACAGGGAACCATTTCTAAAATGTAATAGGTCACGATGTCAATGGATCTATGTTTTTTCTACATCAAATTCTTTGGACAGCAACATTCGAAAAAGCTATTTTTTTGTAGCTTGAATCATATGTCCATATACTATTGATTTTTTTTTTCATTATTGTCAGTTTGATCGCCACACACTGTGTTAGTTCATGGGATTTTTCGTCAGCCATTTTCATACCCAACTAATTTTTAGCATGCATCAACGGGCATCCTTACACAAACATCATCAGTTTTCACAATGCTTTAACATTCAAAACCCACTTTATTCACCTACAAACTGCATTGATCAGTCTGAAGTCATTATTCAGTATTATCACCAGAATAATTTTATTGTTGCATGGAAACTATTATTAAATATCTCTTTGTAGTTAATATTTCCTTTATGTAATTTCTCTGTTAGCCTTCCGGGTTATTAGATTCATTAGATTACCCCAGCAAATAATTTGGAAACTGTTTGCTCTATTTACATTTTGCTTATTTGTGATCACTGTTAAGTTTGACTTTGACACACTCATTTTTGATTTTGCTCTTGAAATTTACTATTTTCTCTAACTGCTACAATATTTTTGTGCATCAGTGTATAATAGATTGGTTATCAATAACTTTGAACTCAATTTCCATTGCTGATTACTATACTCACATTCTCTCATCTTTAGTGAACACAGTGGCAGTCTGTAAAATGCAGTCTTTAATCTCTACCATCAATGTCAACTTAACTGTAATTTCCACCATCATGCCCTTTTGCTACAAAAGGGACTTTCATTGCTGCAGTGATTCCTTGGGTCTATGTTGATCCACAGCAATAGGATAAAGTGAATGTTAGGGCTATGCATATCTGCTGATCCAGATCCTCCGAAGACAGCAAACATTCACAATTGCTAAGTAGTTGCAACACTATCCCCAATCTGACATGCGTCACTGTGAAACTTCTTCAACTCAGTATGACAGAAAGGTCTAATGGGAAACTGTGCCACATCATAACCTTTAGGAAATTGTTGAGAGCCCATGGTCAGCACATGGAATGCAAAGAACCAATTCTATAATTTACTTACAAGTTCTTTTCTCCTGAATTACCTGGGTCTGCATGCCACTTTCTGTAACCATGTTAATGCTGTTTTGTCTCGAGGTGATGCGTTTCCTTCTTTTTTTAAGTACAATGTAAATACGTACATAAACTGACAATGTAACAAAAAATGGTAAGTAGAAGGACACGATGGACGAATACACAACAAAATCTGGATTGGATATAGAACATAAGCTGGGGTCATCTGCAAAGTGAATAATAGCAGAAAAACAAAAATGTTATTAATTAATTAATTCAAATTTTCTTATGTTGCATGACTCATCTGTTAAAATTACAGGCATAGAACTGCACATTTTTTAAAAACATTATTTCCTGCTTAAAGCCAAGCCAACTATTATTTTTGTAGCTCCTAAAATTTCATGCGCATACAACCTGTGATCTCAATTGTTCTTTATTGGCACAAAAACAAATTGACAATGGATACTACAACCATGGTGAATATTTCAGCCAATACAAACTCCTGAATGGCCTGTTTCTTTCCTGTAAAATCCTACCTAATTATAAACACACAAAAAGGGGCAGAAGTAAACCATTCAGCCCTTACAGCCCGCTCTTCTGTTCAAAATGATCATAGCTGATGTGTTTATATTTTGAATTCCACACTCCTATCTATTTCTGATAATCTTTGATTCCCCAGCCTGCCAGGAATCTAAATAACTCTCCCTTAAAGATATCTAATCACCCCTCTTTCACTATTTTCCAAGGTAGAGAATTCCAAAGTCACACAACCTTCTCAGAGAAAAGAAATTCTCATCTCTGGCCTAAAATGGCAACTGTTGGTTTTTAAACTGTGCCTCTAGTTCTGGAGTCACCCATGAGAGGAAATATCCTTTCAAAGCCTTGTCAAAACCATTCAGGTTCTTACCTACTTCAACGAGTCTTTCCTCATGCTTCCAAACTCTAATGGAAACAAGTCCTGACTGCCCACACTATTCCAGTAAGACAAGTTGATTTACTAGATTCAAATCTGGAGTGGAAAGGTTTGTCTGTTCCCAAAGATATTGTTGTTTGTTTTATGATCAATCATCTTGCCTGCCACTTCTCTTTCAGCAGTTATATGCTTTTTCCATACATTTGATGTTTCCCCTAACTTCTTTAGTTAACCATGGATGGTGAGTCTGCCCCTTATAACTTTTCTTTCTAGAATATAATTTTTCTGATCATTCCAAAAAATCCCATCAAATGCTTACTATTGAACAGCAATGGGATCCTTAAAGTGAATGTTACTATTGTTCTGTTCCCCTAGATGAATATGCTAATTTACATCAGCTAGTTCAGCTTTTATGCCCAATGGGTAACCCCTATTTAACTTTAAAATACTAATCTTAGCCTCAATCTTCTCCCTTTCAAGATGGTTCTAAAATTAAGTTATACTATTATTGCTTCTACCTACGGTTGCCTTTCCTCTGAGATAATTAATTAATCCTGTCACATTACGCAGTTCTAAGTCTAATATAACCTGCTGCCTGGTCAGTTCCAAGATGTATCGTTCACAGAAACCACCTCAAAATCGTTCTATGAACTTGTCATCTACGTTACTGTTGTCAAGCTATCTTTTTTTCCAGTTAATATGTAGATTAAAGTCGTCCATGAATATTGCAATTTTATTATCACAAGCACCCATTTATCTTCTTGTATAGTTTATCCTGCATTATGGTTACTGTTAGGGGGTCTATAGACTGCTTCCGCTAGTGACTGTTTTCCCCTATTGTTCCTCATTTCCACCCAAACTGCTTCTACATTATGATCTCCTGAACCATGGCCATTTCTAACTAGTGCATAAATGCAATCCTTGATTCACTCTGCTACCCCTCCACCGTTACCTAGCTTCTTATTCTTCTTGAATATCATAAATCCCTCATCCAATCCTTGTCATCCCGCATCCACATCTCCATAATTTCTATCAAATCTTATTTACTTCAGTCAGAATTATCAGTTTATTTACTTTGTTATGAATACTACATGAATTCAGGTGCAAGGCTTTTTGTTTTTCCTTTTTGCGATTTTTGTAACAACTGCTGTTAATTGTTGGTGTATTCCTAAATATTTTTATTGTCTCAGTCCCTTTCTGCCATTTTCTGACCTGGTTTCCCATATATTACTTTCATACTTGACTTCACTCTTTGGCATGCTACAGCTCTCTGCATTTGATCCCTTCACCCACTGTTTAGTTTTAAAGCCTCTCCACTACCTTAGTCATGCAGTTTACACTGGTAACCGGTACTTTATGCTGGTATGAGAACACTGGTCCCAACACAGTCAGGCCAGTGCCCACTTTCCCTAATACAGGTGCCAGTGTCCAACAAATTGGAACCTTCTTGTCCCACACCAGTTTTTGAGCCATATTTTATCTCTGTAATTTTAAGTATTCCATATCAATTTGCATGCGGCTTACCTGATAATACAGAGATAATAACTTCTGAGGATTTGTTTTCTAAATTAAGTGCTTAGCTCCTCATACTCTACATGCAAAACAAGTTTGATGTATTTTCTTTGTACCTATATGTACCATGACCACTGGATCCTCGCCCTCCCATTCCAAGTTCCTCTCTCTGGTGCCATGGTCAGTTTGCTCATCCAACCCCTCATCGAAACAGGCTGAGAGAGTCTCAAATCCATAGGACCCCTGCCCTCTGGCTTCCCCTGCCTGCCTGCCGTATTCATTTGTGGAGATTCTGATCTCTGATCTGATTGATCTAACATTATAGATTGAACAGCTCTGATGTCACTGCCAAGCAGATAGAATCTTCTACTCGATCTACATGTGGTGGTGAGTGTAGAAATGGGTAGGATGCCAGCCACCAGTGCAAATGCTGTTGGTTATTGCTCCTTTGTTTCCTAATTTATTTCCTCCAACCACTCCAGCTGTAAGATATGTCTGCTGTCTTTGTATAACCATTACTATACCAATTGCGTCCATTCCCCAAAACCCGCACCCCAATCTCATCAGATGGACTTGCAGCAGTTCGAGAAAGCAGTTCCTCCATCTCTCCCAGGGCAATTGTGAATGGGCAATATAGGTTGGCCTAACCAGCAGCATCCGATCTTATGAATGAGTTATAAAAAAAGATTTTGTTCAGAAACATGACTAAATCGGTAAATTTAAAACAGAAATAGTTTTCTATTAACCAAAATTTTCCAGAAGGCTCTCCTGCATTGCTCTAAACATTAGATCAATGTAGCTCTCCTAGCCAGCTCATCCTTTGCACAGAGGTTCAAAGAATGTTATTGAAATATGTGAAAATGATGGCAAATTTTACTTTTCACATTAGTTACTGAAATGTTGTGGATATTAAGCAGAAAGAAAACAAAACCTAGAACTGCTGCTGACACTCCCGTGAAATTCCTTTGGCTGGCATTATAATACAGGACTGAAAACACTAATTTAAAATTCCACTGAAATAGGGGATAAAGGAACGTGCATCAGTTACCATCGACAACATTAATTTCCAGACTTGGGTGTTTTCTTTGATTAAATAAAGAAGCATGAAGCATCTTTCACTTCAGTACCATGTGCAATATGCCTGGTGTACACAATCTAATTGTACTTCCAGTGGACATTTCCTTATTGTTATTGTCCAGACCTTGCTAAATATTATCCAGTGGCTTGGTTCATGTCTGACTTATGACCAGTGTTGATCAAATCGGACCGGATGTCTGAAATTAGACCCTTTCAATCATTGTAAATGTTTTCTAAATGCGAAATGATTATTCCATAAAAAATGTTCTGTACCTGTTGTATTGAAACCAAACAAGAGAGGACAAGACACTGCAAATGACATTATCCATACAGCAGTAATCATTATAGTCACCCGTCTCCTGGAGCTGTAATTTGTGTTATATTGGATTGGCATCACAACAGCAGTGTACCTGAATCCAAGAGAAAACAACACTTTACCAATGTTATAACAACAATTATTATGCAGGCATAGAGATAGAAATATTCAACAGCAACACACCAGATGGTCTCTATAGTATGGCATTCATTCGAGTGCTAAATCACATCAGCTCTTCACGCTCTTGATACATTGGTGTGTAATAATTACTTGGGGTAGGTTTGGGCCAAGAGATGTACAACACGGAAATGGACCCTTCAGTTCAACTTGTCCATGCCGGCCAGATGTCCTAAATTAATCTAGTTCCATTTGCCAGCATTTGGACCATATCCCTCTAAACCCTTCCCACTCATATACCCATCCAGATGCCTTTTAAATTTTGTAATTGTACCAGCCTCCACCACCTCCTCTGGCAGCTTATTACATACATGCACCGCCCTCTGCATGAAAAAGTTGCCCCCTTAGTCCCCTTCCAAATCTTTCCCCTCTCACCTTAAATCTAATTTTGGACTCCCTTATGCTGAGCAAAAAGACCTTGGCTATTCACCCTATCCAATGCCCCTCAGGATTTTATAAACTTCCATAACGGCCCCCCTCAGCCTCCGATGCTCCAGGGAAAATAGCCCCAGTCTATTCAGCCTCTCCCTATAGCTCAAAACCTCCAACCTTGGCAACATCCTTGTAAATCTTTTCTGAACCCTTTCAAGTTTAACAACATTTTTCCTATAGCAGGGAGATCAGAACTGAACACAATATTCCAAATGTGGCCTAACCAATGTCCTGTATCGCTGCAACATAGCATCCTATCTCCTATACTCAATGCACTGACCAATAAAGATATGCATACCAAACACCTTCTTCATTACCCTGTCTACCTGTGACTCTACTTTCAAGGAACTATGAACCTGCACTCCAAGGTCTCTTTGTTCGGTAACACTCCTCAGGACCTTACTATTAAATGTGTAAGTCCTGCTCTGACTTGCCTTTACAAAATGCAGCATCTCACATTTATCCAGATTAAACTCTATCTGCCACTCCTTGGCCCATCTGATCAAGATCCCATTATACTCTGAGATAACCTTCTTCACTTTCCAAGACAACAAGGTGCAGGGCTGGATGAACACAGCAGGCCAAGCAGCATCATAGGAGCAGAGAGGCTGACGTTTCGGGCCTAGACCCTTCATCAGAAAAGGGGGAGGGGAAGGGGGTTTTGAAATAAATAGGGAGAGAGTGGGAGGCGGATAGAAGAGGGATAGAGGAGAGGATAGGTGGAGAGGAAACAAACAGGTCGAAGAGGCGGGGATGGGGCCAGGAAAGGTGAGTGTAGGTAGGGAGTTAGGAAGGGGATAGGTCAGTCCAGGGATGACGGACAGGTCAAGGGGGCGGGATGAGGTTGGTCGGTAGGAGATGGAGGTGCGGCTTGAGGTGGGAGGAGGGGATAGGTGGGAGGAAGAACAGGTTAGGGAGGCAGGGACGAGTTGGACTGGTTTTGGGATGCGGTGGGGGGAGGGGAGATTTTGAAACTTGTGAAATCCACATTGAGACCATTGGGCTGCAGGGTTCCCAAGCGGAATATGAGTTGCTGTTCCTGCAACCTTCGGGTGGCATCGTTGTGGCACTGCAGGAGGCCCAGGATGGACATGTCGTCTGAGGAATGGGAGGGGGAGTTGAAATGGTTCGCGACTGGGAGGTGCAGTTGTTTGTTGCGAACCGAGCGTAAGTGTTCTGCAAAGCGGTCCCCGAGTCTCCGCTTGGTTTCCCCGATGTAGATACTACAACTGCACCTCCCTTGTCCGCTCCCTCCGCTCCAATCCCAACCTCACCATAAAACCCGCGGACAAGGGAGGTGCAGTTGTAGTATGGCGCACTGACCTCTACATCGCCGAGGCCGGACGCCAACTCTCCGACACCTCCTCCTACCGCCCCCTTGATCATGACCCCACCCCTGAGCACCAAACCATCATCTCGCAAACCATCCACAACCTCATCACCTCAGGTGACCTCCCACCCACGGCCTCCAACCTCATCGTTCCCCAACCTCGCACTGCCCGCTTCTATCTCCTTCCCAAAATCCACAAACCTGAATGCCCTGGTCGACCCATTGTCTCCGCCTGCTCCTGCCCCACCCAACTGATCTCCAACTATCTCGACTCCATTTTCTCCCCCTTGGTCCAGGAACTCCCTACCTATGTCCGTGACACCACCCACGCCCTCCACCTCCTCCAGAACTTCCAATTCCCCGGTCCCCAACACCTCATCTTTACCATGGACGTCCAGTCCCTCTACACCTGCATTCCCCATGCAGATGGCCTTAAGGCCATCCGCTTAGCCGAACTCGTCCTCACACTCAACAACTTCTCTTTCAATTCCTCCCACTTCCTACAGACAAAGGGGGTAGCCATGGGTACCCGCATGGGCCCAAGCTACGCCTGCCTCTTTGTAGGTTACGTGGAACAATCCCTCTTCTGTACCTACACCGGCCCTAAACCCCACCTCTTCCTCCGTTACATTGATGACTGTATCGGTGCCGCCTCGTGCTCCCACGAGGAGCTCGAACAGTTCATACACTTCACTAACACCTTCCACCCCAACCTTAAATTTACCTGGACCATCTCTAACACCTCTCTCCCCTTCCTGGACCTCTCTGTCTCCATATCGGGCAACCACCTCGAAACCGATATTCATTTCAAGCCCACCGACTCCCACAGCTACCTAGAATACTCCTCCTCCCACCCACCTTCCTGCAAAAATGCTATCCCCTATTCCCAATTCCTTTGCCTCCGCCGCATCTGCTCCCAGGATGAGGCATTCCACTCCCGTACATCTCAGTTGTCCTCGTTTTTCAAGGACCGTAACTTCCCCTCCTCGGTGGTCGAGAACGCCCTCAACCGTGTCTCCCACATCTCCCGCACCTCATCCCTCACACCCCGTCCACGCAATAAAAACCAAAAAAGAATCCCCCTCGTCCTCACGTACCACCCCACCAACCTCCGGATCCAACGCATCATCCTCCGACACTTCCGCCATCTGCAATCCGACCCCACCACCAAAGACATCTTTCCCTCCCCACCTTTATCTGCTTTCCGGAGGGACAACTCTCTCCGTGACTCCCTTGTCCGCTCCACACTCCCCTCCAGCTCCACCACACCCAGCACTTTTCCCTGCAACCGCAGGAAGTGCTACACCTGCCCCCATACCTCCTCCCTCACCCCCATCCCAGGCCCCAAGAAGACTTTCCACATCAAGCAGATGTTCACCTGCACATCTGCCAATGTGGTATACTGCATCCGCTGTACCCGGTGTGGCTTCCTCTACATCGGGGAAACCAAGCGGAGACTCGGGGACCGCTTTGCAGAACACCTACGCTCGGTTCGCAACAAACAACTGCACCTCCCAGTCGCGAACCATTTCAACTCCCCCTCCCATTCCTCAGACGACATGTCCATCCTGGGCCTCCTGCAGTGCCACAACGATGCCACCCGAAGGTTGCAGGAACAGCAACTCATATTCCGCTTGGGAACCCTGCAGCCCAATGGTCTCAATGTGGATTTCACAAGTTTCAAAATCTCCCCTCCCCCCACCGCATCCCAAAACCAGTCCAACTCGTCCCTGCCTCCCTAACCTGTTCTTCCTCCCACCTATCCCCTCCTCCCACCTCAAGCCGCACCTCCATCTCCTACCGACCAACCTCATCCCGCCCCCTTGACCTGTCCGTCATCCCTGGACTGACCTATCCCCTTCCTAACTCCCTACCTACACTCACCTTTCCTGGCCCCATCCCCGCCTCTTCGACCTGTTTGTTTCCTCTCCACCTATCCTCTCCTCTATCCCTCTTCTATCCGCCTCCCACTCTCTCCCTATTTATTTCAAAACCCCCTTCCCCTCCCCCTTTTCTGATGAAGGGTCTAGGCCCGAAACGTCAGCCTCTCTGCTCCTATGATTCTCCAGCATCTGCAGTTCCTACTATCTCTTCTTCACTTTCCACTTCACCAACAATTTTGGTGTCATCTGCAAATTTACTCATCACTCCTCCTATATTTATATCCAAATCATTTATATAAATGACAAAAAGCAGTGGACCTAACACTGTCCTTGAGTCACGCAGCTGGTCACAGGCTTCCAGTCCGAAAAGTAACCCTCTACAACCACCTTCTGTCTCCTAGCTTCAAGCCAAATGGCTAGCTCTCCATGTATTCAATGTGGTTTAACCTTGCTAACCAGCCTACCTTGTTGAAGCCTTGCTGAAGTCCACATAGACAACATCCACTGCTCTGCCTTCAGCAATCTTTATTGACACTTCTTCAAGAAACTCAATCAAGTTAGTGAGACACAATTTCCCGTGCACAAAGCATGCTGACTATCCCTAATCAGTATTTGCCTTTCCAAATATATGTCAATCCTGTCCCTCAGAATCCCCTCCAATAACTTAAGTGTACAGAAGTTAGCCACAACCACTTACCTATGTATATGTGTGAGTGATTATATGGCCTAAGGTACATCTCACAGTCATTAAAGAGAACTGGTGTTTATTCTTCAGAGGAGAATGCACCGGTAGATTTTTTAAAACTTGAGTATGCAGCCTTTAAGATACATTGTAATCTGTTTATTGTTCTAAAAAGCATGTGCATCAGAAGAGTATTCAGATGATTGTATCCCCTTCTGCTGGTTCCCTAGGATTCTCAACATATCCATGAAGAATCCATTTTGTTTTCCTTCACATCTCTGATGGTTCTCTTTCAATCATCTGACTTCACTCTTTCAACAGGAACTCAGCAAAAGACGGCTTTCCCCCATTGACTCTGTCTGATCATGCTCTGATCTTCTAAGGGCACTGACTCCAAAACATGCATTCCATTTTTTTGCAGCTAACCCTTATGGAACTCTACAATATAGTCCATCAGGTCCTCAGGATTCGTCAGCTTCCATTCTCTTATGTCTCTTTAATAACTTTTCTCTGCTGAGGTTAATTGCCTTAAATTCCTCACTCCTATTGGTTGCCTTCTGTTCTGGTATGTAATTTGTATATATGTAAGATTCCATAAATCAATGATCAAAACACTAAACAGTCATTGCATAGACTACCACTCCTAATGTTGAATGATGTCCTTAGTACTATTCCTGACCCTTAAAATGCTTTAAGATATATTGAGAATAGACTTACCTATCAATACTGATAGCACAAAGGTTTAAAATACTTGCTGTGCACATCATGACATCCAGTGTCACAAAAATGTTGCAGCTTGTTCGACTGAAGCTCCAATCCCCTACTACCTGTGGGAGATAATGTTCATTGGTAAATTATTGACAAAAATTTTGGGAAGATATCAAAAGAAGCATCTAAGGAGAAATCAAAGGAGACCAAAAGTGAATAAAAGAATATAAATATGTTTATATTTATGCATATTTATGTTTGTAGTGTTCGACATACCTGGTACTGACTTTTCTACCCAGAGTTAGTAATATGTGGATGATTTATAAAAGTATGGTTTTTAAAAGGTTGGCTGTATAGTTGAAGCTCATCGACATAATCACCACGTGATTCCATATGATTCTCTTTCATGCATAACAACTCCAGACAATCCATTTCCTCATTGTTCTTACATCGCGCAGATTGTGTTCTGAGTTATTTGTGTACATTCCAAGGTCCAGGACTACGTGCTGAGGGACGCACTAAAGCTTAAAGCTACTGCTGCCAAGGCGCAGTGGGGAAAGACTGCTGTTTGAGGTCTTTCTGCTTAAGTTAAATGGGGGCTTGTTCAGTTATTGGACCCTTCTGGTACCTCAATTAAATGTAAATAAAGTCTTGTACAAGTAAGAGATGCCATTGGTTTGTTTGTTGAATACAGTCAAACTCCAATGTTTGCTTGTTTCCTCATAAACTACTGTACAGAACCAAACTGCATTTGTGACTATGTATATATAAAGACACGTTTAATGAATAAAGTATATTTTTGAAATTAAAAAATTCTGTAGCAATGTCTTTTATTTTGTGGACAACTCATGAATCTGACTTGCTATTTTCTACCAGAAGAAGTGGCTAACTGCAATAAAGGTTTGCTACATGTCTACTGGTTGTCAAACTGGTATTCAGAGGCCAGAAATCTATTGTCCACTGACTAGATGCCCTAAAGTGGTACTTGGTCTTTACCTGCTGTCTCAGAGGCAAGAATGCTACCACAGAACTGAGGCCCACTGCTTGCTGGAGGTTGAAATCAACAGATTAATTTGCCCACAATTGACCCAATGCTATGAGAATTCATTGGGTCTAAAGTCAGTGTTGAAGACTCGAAGGGCCAATCCATGCAAATTGAATTCAACTGTGCCACCACCTCTGCTGGGTTTGTCCTGCTCGAAGGAAAGGATATTTCAAGGTGATGGTGATGGTGCATTGGCTGCAAGATATGATTTTACAAATAGGGATTATGCCAGATTATTGCATCACAGCTTTTCAATGTGTGGCACCAGTCCTTACATGTCAGGGAGGAAGACAATTCAGCTGGGCTTGGTGAGCCATTGTTATGTCTAAAATATAAAGCCTATGTTGAAAGGACAATTTATAGAAGATGTCTCGAATAACCACTTCACACAGGACTGATATCTCATGGAAATGGCCTTCGTGTAGGATGGCGACGTTGGAAACCTTAAACTCATTTAAAATACCACTCGGTAGATATGAGAGTACTGCAAAGTTATACCTTTGAATAGATAGATCTCCCATATATTATTTATGTAATCTAGTGATTCTCAGGACTATGTGGCACCAGTTGCTATATAATACAACAGCTGATGACAGTGATAAATTGTATAGGAAACGTTGATATAGAAATTGCGTCTCAGTTGAATTATATTTGGTAAAATTGTAACCTTGACTCTTAAATCACTCTGCAAAAGCAACTCAAATACCTTAAAGAGATTATGAAGAGTTGTTCTTAAATTACACTGCAAAATAAAGACATCATTTTAAGGACTTCATTCACATAGGAACATTAAAAGACACATTGAGTTAACAAACTCCTTCACGTTAAGTATGTTCACACTACATCACAACAATATAATTAGCAACTTCTGTACATCATGATATTTACCTTTCAGAAATACAATGATCCTACTGCAGTTGTGATTAACTTAATATGACAGAATACAGAATGCTGTAATATAGACTATGTAACAAAGAATGATAGCTATTTCAGCAATAAATCATGTCTTGTTAGATCCACAACAGAGGCACTTAAATCTCTTTCTCTGTTCTTAATCTATATTTTTGAACATACTTCCTCTTGAAGTATTTATCTAATTCCCTCTTCTGTGCTGAATCGTTTTTAGGAGACACTTGTGGTAATGCATTTTATACAGTAATAACTTGCTGCTTGGAAAAGTCTCTTTTAGCCTCTTCTTTTATCTTTCCAACATTAATCCCAAAGTTATGTCACGTTATTACTGATTCACCTACCTACCAAAGGAAAAAGAGCATTCCAAATGCAACTTTTAATCCTTCCACACTTTGAGCTGTTCAATTAAATCCTCCCTAACCTTCTCTGTTCCAGCCAACGAAACCTATGTTTAAAACTTTCTAATCAGAAATAAGGCTGCATAAATTTACGGTTACAGTCAGAAGGATAGAAGAGATTTTTCATTAAACAAATTATTACAGTAAAAATGCATCACTACAAATGGCCCTTAGAGCTCAGTCAACCATAGCACTTAAGATGAATTTGTCAAACGCTTCAGGAAAATGGAAGAAGAGCAAGTGATTAAAATTAAAATATTAGTGAAGGCCAAAAGATCCCATCATGTTTCGTGCTGCTTTTTATTAATTTACTGAATTAATGGTTGTATGCTTTGTTTTTATAATCACTTAAAGCAGGGGAGATTTAGAAATACTGAAGACGTAAACCACCATGCTGTCTAGCTGATAGCACTGATGTTGCTGGGAATGATGATTCCATTGAAGAGTCTGTTTCAAGTGTTGAGAAATCAGAGAGTTTCTTGAGTTCCTAACTCATTGTCTGGTTGTTTTCCAGGATACTGGTCGAAGTAGTTTCAGGTGTGAGTGAAATGATCAAATTTGACAGTTAAATAATTATGGAAGTATTTTGCTTCAGACTGGGGATGCTCAAAGTCTGAATTGCAAACAGAAAGTGCTGAAGAAACGCAACAGGTCTGACAGCATCTGTGGCTAGAGATGTGGAGAGTGATGTGTGAAAAATGTCACTTCAGAAGGTCACTATAGCTATGACTGTCTGCTAAAAGAACACAACTGAGAATGCAGGCTTTTTTTTTACCTAGTTCCAAGTTAGTCTTTTCAGGTTTTGCAAATGAGTTGTTTTGCCACGACAATGTAAGTCACATACTCTGTGCCACTTCCATTTTGTTGATGGTCACGTCTCATACCTTGTAATTCTTTTCAGGCATAATTCTGTTTGAGTGATTTAAATGCTCAGGTCTTGAAATTACATTGTACAACACTTTTTAATTAGGGGGGCAGCAGTATTTTTTACATGAAGGCAGATGAGCAAAAATGTTGCCTAAAATAAAAATTATTGGGAGCAAACAAGATGAATATTTGGCAATTCTAAGCCAAAAAAAAGCAATCTACTCAGTATTTCCAATAGAATGCATAATTTGCATGTACATTTATTAAATTTATGCATGAATTGAAAAAACATCAAAATTAAAACAGACCTTATGTTTTTGGAGATTTTTAGTTTGTATCTTTAGCTAATGCATGTGCAAGTTTTATGTCAATCTGAATGAATTATGTATCAGCATGTTTGAAAAGGAAATGTAAAAATGCTGAACCACATTAACTTAATAGAAAACCAGCACATTTTCACTTTGGAAAAAAAGAGATTTACATATAAAACTGAATGCATTTTTTACTTGCAATAATTTTTTCTGAGAGTCAGATCAAATGACCCAACATCAAAAAGGACAGGGACATCTGATAATCTGCATCCCTGTTCTTCTGTCTAAAACTCTGCACCCAACAAGCCCTCCCCCAGCTCCTGGGACTCCCATGCCCTATCCTGTCACCAGTCCTACAGAGTTCCACTTGCCACCTTTAAAAGTAACTTCAAGTTAATTTATTTTTCGAAAATATTTTTCAAACAGGTTTCTGGTAGTGCATTTCTAGTACTTTATTGTCTTAGTTATACCGGAAACAAGAATGGTTGCAACTATCAACCTGTGCCTCAAACCATAGGCTATACCACACTTGGAGTACTGTGAGCATTTCTGGGTACCACACCTTAGGAAGGATATATTGGCCTTGAAGGGGGTACAATGTAGGTTTACAAGAATGGTACTTGGTCTTCAGCAGTTAAGTTATAAGGAGAAATCATACAAATTAAGCCTGTTTCCTTGAGAACTTAGAACGTTATCCAATTGAAATTATCAAGATTTTAACAGTAAAAGATTTGGTAGATAAAGATAAACTACTCCCACTGGTTGGGGATTCTAGAACTCGGGACATAGTCTGAGGATTAGGGCCAGACCCTTCAGGAGGTCTATAAGGAAGCACTTCTACACACAAAAGGGTGATAAATGTTTGGAACCCTCTTCCACAAATGGTTGTGGATGCTGGATCAATTGTTAATTTTCAATCTGAGATAGTCAAATTTTCGTTAAACCTAGGTATTAGTGGGTATGAGCCAAAGGCAGGTATGTGGAGTTAGGCTACAGGTCAGCCATGATCTCATTGAATGGCAGAACAGGCTCGAGGGGCTGAATGGCCTACCCCTGTTCCTATGTTCCAAAGGCATATCTTTAACTATAGTATAGCCACACAACTTGAACAGGTTCATTTCAATCACAATTGTTTTCCATTAAAAGAAATCATTCAAAAGCATAAAGCACAGCATAATGATTAGCCTTTTATCCCCATACAATTTTTACTTTTATTGACTTAATCTTTCTTAGGCTTTTTTTTACAATAACACAACCCAGTTGGAAAATTTTGGGAGCCACAGACAAGATTTAAAGAGTTGCATGTGTCTCCAGAGATGGAGTTTGCCAAAACCTGTTTTATATTCATATAATAATACAACACACGGGGAGATCATTGGCCCATTTTTGCTGCCAGTTCTTTGAAAGATGCATCCCCCTTCTATTTCTGCATTGTCTTACAATTATTTCCCTTTCAACTGTATATAGAGTTCCCTTTTGAAAGTTCCTATTCCAACTGCTTTCTCCAGCCTCTCAGACAGTGCATTCCACATTATAACAACTTGCTATGTCTAAAAAAAACCTAATTTTCTCTGGTTTTTTTACCA